CTGCCTCTCTCTTCCCATTCACTATGAAATATGTTAACTGTAGGATGTAAAGTGCACGTGAACAAATATAATGAGCTGGATTCGGGTAATTGTGTAATAATTGTTCTCTTTGCTCACTTTGTGTTGATCTTACGTATACTCGGTATAACCCAGCTGTAGCAAACCACTTAACTAAGCTCCAGTCTGAAACAGGCTGCTTGTTAAGTGTTAGAAATACAAAAGGGAGGCTGAGAAAAGCCTGGGTTTAGAGATTGATCCCGGCGTTGTGGTGTAATATTTTAAGTTTAAAATTATTCGTCTAATCATATTAGACGAAAATACCCCTGGTTTGCGAAATACTTGTAAAGTCTGATTTTATTGATGCAAGTTGTTCAAGGAGGTATTCAAAACATGGACGCATAAAGTGGGTACACCAATTTTTGTGGGAAAACCTCTATCTGACAGCAAAGATTGAGAAAATCCGTATTTTGGGACTCTTCAAATAAGATTAGGTATACTAAGTGACATATAAATCCGAACACCCAGTTTAAATGGTTTTATTTTAATAAAAGTTGGTGAATGTATTTATCTTACTGTAAATAACAAGTGAAAAAATTTTCAGCCTTATCAATTGGACATTCGGGTTTTTATACTGCTTTTTTTTAATTCACTAACGCTCTAAAAATGAATATTTCAGCCGCAGTAAAGAATCAACGTTGGCGGATTTTGGTTCTTGACATCCTTTACGATCGGTTACGATGCCTAGAGTACGGAGACCTGTACGATTTCGTCAACTTAGTGAGTTTAATAGGGGCCGTATAGTGGGACTTCGGGAAGCTGGACTCTTTTCGGGCAATTGCAGTTAGAGTGCAAAGAAGTGTAGACACTGTGGTTAGGTGTTGTCAGGCATGGCTTCGAGAAGGCCGTACGCAAAGAGCAAGGGGCACTGGACGCCGCCGTAGAACAACAGACCGTGAAGATCGCCGCCTAAGATTATTGGCCTTAAGGGACCGTTTCTCCACTACCAGGTCCTTTGAAAATGAATGGTTTGCAGAGCACGGAAGACCTATTGGCATGCGAAGTGTTTACCGACGAATGAGAAGTTTTAGCTTGTTTTCATACCGGCCACACTGGGTCCTCCCTTTAACTCGAGAACACCGACGTAATCGCCTTGAGTGGTGCAGACAACGGTCACTCTGGGATCAGGAATGGAACAGTATTGTCTTTAGTGAAGAGTCTCGATTTTGTTTAGGCATGCACGATGGTCTTGCCAGGGTTAGAAGGCGACGTGGTGAAAGGAGGAATCCACAGTTTTTTGTTGAAAGACATGTTCATCACACTGTTGGAGTTATGGTTTGGGGTGCTATAGCTTATGGTTCCAGGTCACCTCTAATCTTCATCAGAGGTAACATGAACGCGCAGCGTTATATCCACGAAGTTCTAGAACCCCATCTTTTACCCTATCTTGACACCCTGGCAGATCCAACTTTCCAACAAGATAATGATTTCCAACATGTTGCAAGAGTCACAATAGACTTCTTTCAACATAGTGATGTCACATTGTTACCATGGCCACCAAGATCTCCCGACTTATCCCCAATTGAGCACGTGTGGGATATGATGGGTAGGAGATTGCTCAATTTGCAACGTCCTCCTCAGACTCTAGAAGCACTTCGAGAGGAGTTGGTGGTTGCCTGAAATGAGATACCACAGGAGGACATTGACCACCTGATAAGAAGCATGCCTAGGCGCGTTGAAGAATGCGTAGCACATCAGGGTGCATCACATTATTAAAGGTCAAAGGGCTTTAAAGCACTGCAATCATTTTGAAATTTTTATCATTTACTTATTATGCTTCATTGTGTACTTATACAAAGTTTTATTAAAATAAAACCATTTAAACTGGGTGTTCGGATTTATATGTCACTTAGTATATTTATGGGACCTACAGGTAAAAATGTACCAATATTAGTAAAAACAAACAAATTTAAACATTTCGTATGGCTACGATATTCTAAAAACGTACGTACGTTATTATACACATTTTAAAACAAAGCGGGTGTGTCTCACCTTTTGTTACGAAGAAAACATTTCTATTCAAGATTTCCTCATACTCGTGTGTATAAATATTCAAAGCTCAAATTTTTACGCGGTCACAGATGAGCCTTTAAGTTTATAAAAGAAAATATTCCATACTGAAATGCGCTGAACTGTTTATAAAACTAGCACCCAAACTGAAGACACAATTATGTTTCAGACTTCTTCTCTTACCTTTGATTTGTACGGTTGAAAATGTTGTTTCGATCTTCCCTCAGTTGTGTTCACTTCAGTAAGCAATTTCAGTTATTTCAAAAGGGCTTTTCTCTTCTTTGAATAACCTTTGTGGCTAAATTAATATAACGCTTAGTTACTTAAGGGCCAATTTCAGCAACATTAATATTATGGACCAATGGCAAAATACCTTATCGAAATGCAATTTGACGAAACATGTCAAAGGTCTCTGAATATTGAATATTGAATATTGAATATTGAAATATTGAATAAAATCGTGAAAATTCGACAGTATTATAAACAAGACCACTTTTTGATTCCAACATGATGCTTTTGTACAGAAAAAACAGGACAACTTTTATGTATTTTGATATATGTTTTAGGTTTACATTTAACAATCCGTTATCCCCCTCAGCGAATGGGAATGCTGAAATAATAGGTCGATTTTCTAGCTGTTAAATTTGGCAGCAGATTTGGACGTTTGCTAATGCATGGCACTCTTGAATATACCAACTTCAATATACTGAAAGTTATCATTACATACCTGTTGAATAGTGTGGATTTGTCTGTATTTTGCAAGAAAATAGAATATAAAATACATTCCATCCAATTCCTCATCTTCCTTTATGTCATAATAGTAATCATTTATTAATTTATGGGATCATTTAACTGTTGCAATCAGTGCACAAACACTGTGACATATGATTTATAGCATAACCCGCTGCCCTATCAATACAATACAGGTCGCTAGCCGTGGGGATGCAGTAGTCGGGATGAATATCACGGCAGCAACTGATGACTTGGGCATGTCTGGTAAGAACGTATGAAGTGAAACTCGCTAACTTCACAAATTTGAAGATTTTGTACAAGTTCTTTGAAAATGATGAAAGATATGTCTGATTTGGCATGGTAATGTCGCAGCCAAATGGCAGTCACCCTTTCTGACACAGTCCGGATCGAAAGATGACGATACTCGTGAAATGTATTGATACTTCTAAATATAGCATCCTATCGAACATCCCTACTGTCAAGCTGTATAACCCAAGGTACCGACGGAGCTATTTTGCGGCGTCATGGAAATAATTTAAAATTTTCATTTGCATTTTTTCGAGTGTTGTGCAACGATTTTGGGAAAAACGTCACGAATAGTCCTATAAAGCTTAGTAGAGTATATTTCAACAGTTGGCGGAACTTACTCCACTGGGACCAGGAGGGTGAAACGGGATATTAATGCACAATCTGGCAACCCTATCGCACCCTCACAAAATGACAGCTGACAACCACACAAGTCACCGTGTTGTGATTGACTAGCATGGAATTAAACCTTCAGAGTATGTTTTGTGATTGGTACCAAGAGTTGACAGAGCCCACACATGTGTCACTCCTTGAAATGCAATACTCAACTGTACTCAAATAACGTCTAATATCGATATTAAGAAGCCAGAATGGTTTTGTGGGAGTATCAATCTAAGGTGCCATAATGGTTCTGATGAACGGCAAGTAAATGAATGAATATTTGGAAACGAGCGATATCTATGAACTTTTTGGTAGAGCCAGTCATCAAGAAGGTGCTTAATGGCTATCTGCATCAGGTTTATTGGAAAAAACACCCAGTAGATGATCTTGAATCAGTAAAATCGCATATCAATTGAAGAAAATAATATTATCATGAATAAAAAATCAACAATGCTAATTAAAACATGAATTTTATTCAAAAATCAAACATTTGTTTAAATTTTGACTAAATTATATGTAATTTCTTAATATTCAATAAGGTGGTGATGTTCCAATGAACATTTCTTAGCTATTGGTTGCTAAAATTTATTGATTAGAACTTGAAGGTCATTCGCTGTATTTGACGGACTGTTACCCTATAGGTGGAGAATAACGGACGGAAATTGGTCCTAGGAATTCTATACATCTCCTTGATTAATTAGTATAGTTTAAGTTGATTCTTAAGTTGCTATCAAATTCAAACTTAAAATTATTGTAAATTAGTTGTCACCGTTCCTTTTAACTTAGTCGTAATTCAGTTTTCCAGTGACCCTTTTCTTTGTCATTGCTACTTCACTTTGCACGAGTGCTTATAGTCTGAAATTTGATTACCAACAAAAGTTAGTCTCCTCTACCTTGACTTTCATTAAATTCATTAACAGAAGCTGAGTTCCGAAAATGCGTAAAGTGAGTGTTTCAATGGGTCATGATTCTATTTCAATATTTCAGGTTTTACGTGAGTCTACCTCCTATAGGAAGACAAGTATAGGTGACAGAGTTGGAAATTAGAGCAGTCTCGGGTCATTGATCAGTCGGCCAGTTCTGCTCTGAACAGCAGCACCCCAAACACGTGAGCTGAACTCAAGACTAGTTCTTATCTGGGACTTGTACAGAGTGAAAATGGGGAGAAAGTGCTTCTTAACCTTAAAAAATAGCCTGGCTCTTTCCCAGCAGCTGCCTCCATTGAAAAGATGTGATGTGAATCAGAGAGATAATCTCCAGGTCTGTTGTCAGAAAGAAAGTCGTTGTCAGTTTTCTTTTCTCCAGCTTACCGGCAAACATCGGCTTGTCTCTCTGAGTTGCTGCATGTAGAGTGCTATTGTTAGCAAACCTGTGGATGGGATTGATCCTACAGGTCGTTGAAATATAAGAGAATCGATGCCGGAGCCAAGACCAAGAGGAGAACTACCTCGGAAGTAAGGCGATCGATGCTCAGGGGGTCGATCCTGTCAGCGAGGTACGAGGGATGTCTTTTAAGCTTTGCATATGGAAATAAAACAACACGGTAGGTAGTTTTAAATGACTTTATTGTTTTTCGAAGTATTCTCCAGATTAATATATATCTGCATGTGCTCGAACCAATTTTCGAAGCACTTATTCCACTCGTTTGCTGGCAGATCCAAAACGGCATTTTTGAATGCGTCAACTGCTTCTTCTGGTGACTGGAACCTTTGAGCACACAGTCTGTTTTTAATTTTCGGGAAAGTAAAGAAATCGTTAGGACGTTTTCTTCCGTTAAATACTGCCTTGTTCTTTGGGCGAGCTTGTATTGTCTTGGTGGAGGATGATTCTTCTTTCGGGGTTGATTTTTCGAAGCTCAGTGATGACTTTTGGAAAACAAATGGTGGTATACCAATCCGCAGTAACAGTTCTTTGCTCATTAAGAGGAATTGTTGCAATGTTGATACAAATGTCGCGACCATCTTTTTCGAAACACTTCGGGAACGCAGGACTTTTGTTGGCTTTTCTTCACCTTGGGACACCCAAACGACTGTCGATTATTTTCTGGTTTGTAACAGTAAATCCACGATTTATCACCACTAACAATGCTGTACACATTTTTTGAGTTTCCGGAATTGAAACGGCTAAGCGTTGTTTGACACCAATTAACCCTGGCTGCTTTCTGCTCTTCAGTCAACAGGTGGGGTATCCAACGAGAAACTAATTTTCTTACTCCTAATTCTTCATGTAAATTTTTTTGAATTGAGGTCTTTGAGATCTTCAAGGACGCCTCAATCTCGCGATATGTCACATGTCTCTCCGCCATGCTGAAATAACGATAGTTATAATCGATAAATGGGCAAATTATTTGAATGTTCTCTAAACACGCTTCTCAAAATTGTCACTTTCAAAGTCAACTATGACAATATAAGTTTTTTCGAAACAACTTAGGTTTGATAATTTTAATGTATGATATATTATACATTTTTTGAATCAGAATTAAAGCTAACCAAACTAAAAAGTAGAAAATAATTTTTAAATACAAGAGTTTATATTACAGTAGTAGATGGTCGAACAATCATTTATGGAATTGTCGGAACTGCGAAAATTTCTATGCCACCTACATACTCAAGTTTACCCCCAATCAACTGATTTCGAATCTCTTACCGTTTCCGAGATACCAGTGGTGAAAGTCGAATTCGAAACACCCGGTATAAGGACTTTTCCAAGACTTTCCAGTTTCTTTTTCTGGCACTGATTGGAAGCCTGAAAATAAACCGACTTCTGAGAGCCAATATTTTGAACAGAATAAAGTTCTTGATCGGACCCTTCAGATCCTTCGCACACTGTGTATGTCCTCCAGCATGGTCCACCGCTTGTTCAATCTTGTTCTTGACATTGCCCAAAAGCAGTCCTGAGATAAACTGAAAGTTCTCAGCTCTCGATGGCTCATTCACATGAACAAAAAACCAAAAACACTCAACAGAATGATCATGCGAACCTTCATATTGGAAACGCTAATTTGCACTAGCTTTTTGTTAATTTTGTTGGTGCATTAGTGGTAATTGAAAGTCACATATAGATAAAGGGTTCTGACAATTATCTTTATCGTTGAAAAGAGGATTAGCTCGCGACTATAAAAGTACTATTTTTAGTTGGTTGTTTTCATGCAAAAGCACTCCACACCAAAAGTTGCAAAATTTATAATTCGGTTCTTATAGAACTCATACTGTAATAAATAAATAAATAAATAGCATTTATTGCCCAACAGTTAAATAAACTGTTTACAGGACAATCCTAAGATAAATCAGACTAATGAAAACAGAAAACACACAAAAAGCACGTGATTTCATCTAACGGAAAAAAACAAGAAAAAGAAGCAAAAAGTTAAGTTTTGCATATGGAAATAAAACAACACGGTAGGTAGTTTTCAATGACTGTATTGTTTTTCGAAGTATTCTCCACGGAGATTAATACACATCTGCATCCGCTCGAACCAATTTTCGAAACAAATATTCCACTCGTTTGCTGGCGATCCAAAACGGCATTTTTGAATGCGTCAACTGCTTCTTCTGGTGACTGGAACCTTTTAGCACGCAGTCTGTTTTTAATTTTCGGGAAAGTAAAGAAATCGTTAGGACTTAGATCGGGACTATATGGAGGATGGTTCAATAATAACACTTTTTCTTCCGTTAAATACTGCCTTGTTTTTTGGGCTGTGTGCAAGCTTGCATTGTCTTGGTGGAGAATGATTCTTCTTTCGGGGTTGATTTTTCGAAGCTTGGTGATGACTTTTGGCAAACAAATGGTCATAAACCAATCCGCAGTAACAGTTCTTTGCTCATTAAGACGAATTGTTGCAATGACAAATGTCGCGACCATCTCTTTCGAAACACTTCGAGAACGGATGACTTTTGTTGGCTCTTCTTCACCTTGGAACACCCAAACAGCCGACTGTCGTTTATATTCTCGTTCATAACAGTTAATCCACGATTCATCACCACTAAAAATTCTGTACACATTTATTGAGTTTCCGGAATTGAAACGTTCAAGCGTTTTTTGACACCAATTAACCCTGGCTGCTTTCTGCTCTTCAGTCAACAGGTGGTGTATCCAGCGAGAAACTTTCTTACTTCTAATTCTTCATGTAAAATTTTTTGAATTGAGGTCTTTGAGATCTTCAAGGACGTCTCAATACTCGCGATATGTCACATGTCTATCTTCGATGATGAGTTTGCGCACAGCATCGACGTTTTCCTGGGTGACTGCCGTTTTTGGTGCACCCACCCTGGAATCGTCGCTAAGACTCACCCGTCCACGTTTAAATTCTCCATACCAACGGGAAATTGTCGACTGATGTGGCGCTTCGTTGCCGAAAACAGACAGTAACTCAGCAAGGCATTCTTGTTGCGATAATTGTCTCTGAAAGTTGTAATAAATTATGGCGCGAAAATGTTCTCGGTTGAGTTCCATTTTTCTAATGACTTGGTGACACTTAAAAATTCACCGTAGTGAGAGCACTGTACCTATTGTTGTGAAGCTTTGAATTTAAGTTTACTAAAGAGTGAGGTTAAGATTCAGTACTGAAGTTCGATCCGCGCGGCTTACTATGTTCCTATATGCAAAACTTAAAAGACATCCCTCGTATTCAAGTAGATCATTACAGTTAAAGTCCGTTCGAGGTAGAGCGATATGGGCAGGAAATACATTTGGAGATCCTTCAAAGTTGAAGTGAAGCTCTTCTCGCCAGTTGGCGTGGATAGTGAAAGGGCCTATGATAGGATGACGAACGTCCAATCTCTTCGGTCAATTTCCAACCCGGTAACATTTTGCAAGGTATCTTATTGTTTTACTGCATAAAAATGTGAATATATTATTTCCACATATTTAGTATCTTAGAACATCCACATAATTTGGTATTTAACTCCAATATCCCTGTCTTGACTACCAGCAACAACGTAGTAGCATTCCGGATCGGCAAATTATCTTGGTCTAGGCCTACCATTCAATTTTCGGGACGAATGAATAGAATGAAAGAAGCCGGAATTAACATATATTCGCAGACATTCCAGCGCTTTCAGCTTTATTTATATGTGGAGTTTCCGTTTGCGATTTTCCTTGTGCGGAATACATTATCTTTCTCTGGAAGCAAGAACCATGAAAGCTAATTGGATAGAGTTATGCAAAAGGAGCTATACAGGAATAAGAACGTCTGAACGTTTGCATGGGAAAGCCAAACAGGTGTTTTTCTGGTCTCAGCTTTTGTGTTCCATCTCTGTGGCCAGCCGTATTCGGTATCGTCTCATCCTCAGATGGAATCATCAGGACGGTATAGATTTACATGACAAATAACGGAACACTTATATGGATAAGCTGACGTAAGTATAGGGTGACCGATATGTGGTTTGTATCTTGAATATTTGTGAAATGAAATAAAATACGTCCATTTTTTTCATCTTAAGCTTTTACTGAAACTTAGAAATTATGGATGAAAAATAATATCAGAAAAATGTCCGCCTCTAGAAGCCGCGAAAGCCTGAGCCCTGTTGATCACCTTTTCCATCACCTTTTGGTAGGTTACCGGAGGAATATTTTCAATCCGAAACCTGTCTGTTTTCAAAATAAATATTTAATTAAAATGAGAGTTGAGTACATTAGTTCAAGGGTAAAACAAAAAAATATTCACAATCCATCCTATAAGCAAGAATCGAAAAAGGAGTTTCCAGAATGGTTGCAAAGTACTTTGAAAGAGCGACCAGTATGCATATTGTAGAAGTTGCAATATACAACTATGCCCTCAAAAAACGTGTTGTGTGCGCGCCCAATACAATAACAGACGTTTTTCATGACTCAAAGATCCTTGATCTACCACTGATCTTGGGACGGCATTTACCTTACACCGAATTCAACGACACTATTTACCGATTCCGTTTTTTTGCCGGTTCGGCAACACTGTAGTTGTGCAGATCACTTTAAAGGCAATTGATATCCCAACGTGTTACAATAATACAAATAATAAGAAAATATAACAATGTTTCGAGATATATTTTCATAAATAGGTATCTAGACGATGAATAATAGGTGGATGCAGATACTTTTACAAATATCGATGTTTTAGGACCTACAAGTGCAGAATTTGCTGTTTGTTTACAATTGTTTTTGATGTAACAAAAGATGATGAACCAGTTGGAATACGTTTTATATCCCTTTTTTTTTGCAAAATAGCAAAAATCCGTGTATTTCTACAGGTACATATTTTGTACAACACCCTGTACGTGATATACAGACAAAACTAGATTGCCATGCATGAGTAGTCGTCAAAAACAGTGAAAACATCCTACTAAATATAATAGCTAGAAGATCGACCTATTATTTCTCTCGTTTTCATTGGTCCATTTAAATAACTGACCGTCTTTTGTGAAATGATAAAAATTTTAAATTCTATGAAAGTTATCCTAGCTCTGAAGCACAAAGACAATATTACATCTATAATGTACCCCCAGAGAGCTTTGACAGCTTCCGTCAAATTGCATTTCGATAAGGTCTTTTCCTATTGGTCCAGCTGACCGTCAAATATTAATTTTGGTGAGATTGGCCCTTATTCTTCAATATAGCCTACTTGGAGTTCAATGCATTTAATTATAGAGTGGATTTCTCGGAGCCCTTCAATATGGACGTATACACCTGTAATGATTCCGTCACTTGGACTTCTTAAAGCATGAAAACTAACGAAATACTTGATATGATGAATCTGGTGAATATGGCGGCTGGTCAAGCAATTCGAAACGTTATTATTAGCTGCATGTAGAGTGTTGTCATCAGCAAAGATGTGGATTAGGTTGATCGTACAGAAATCGAGGTCGTAAGAGGAACAGTGTCGGAGAAAAGACCTATCTCGTACGTTGAGGGATGAAGAATATGCCGTAAGATATCTGGAAGAGACCCGAAAGTACAGGAGCAACCTCTTCAATACAACGGAAGAAATCAAATCCGGACCAGAAGTTTTGTTCATGTCGAGCGACAAGAGCACCCGTCTTGAGGTCTTATGTCTGAATTTTACTTCCCGCATACTGTACGGAACCCTTTGAATCGACCGCGCTCAGGCGTTGGGGGAAGGGGACGTCCATGGTGGTTTTGGCAGCAAGCGTCTTGACAAGCACTACCTCCTCAGCCTTGGGGTCGGTTACAATCGTTCCATCCTAACACGTAAGCGGTGGGAGGCCACTCTGTGAAAAGTTCCTTTCAATCTGGTTTGCCAGCGTCCAGAAAGACTGTCATTGCACTGCGACATTACCCTGTGCCCTTTATATCCTGCTGATCTTAGGCATTGCGGACCGCCTTGTTGTATTTGCTTCTGGACTAGATATCGTCTTCTCTGTTCTCTACAGTCGGGCTTTGTAAGAAGGTTGGTTAAAATTTATTATATTGATACAAAGGTCATTATCAGTTTTAGCGGATAGAGTTATGGTAGTGTCATCCGCGAACATGGTAATACCTTATGTCCGCAGCAAGTTTAGAAGGGTACGGGTTACTCAACCAGGTCACTAACTTGGCTCTAGTTACTCAGTACATTTCTGAAGTACTGGACGGTCAGGGACAAGTTGATGTCATCTACACAGATATTCAGAAGGCGTTTGATCAAGTTGATCATTATGCACTTCTAGATAAGCTTAAAACAGTGGGTATGTCTGATGCAATGCTGTCGCTCATGAATTCATATTTGAGGGATAGAAGGTTATCTGTCGAATATGGTGGTCATAGGTCGAGTTACTATCGGGCCACGTCCGGGGTACCTCAACGGTCAAATCTAGGTCCATTATTGTTTTTGATATTTATTAATAACTTGTCGTTTGAACTGGAGTGTTTCCATTCGTTTTTCGCTGATGACCTTAAAATCTGCACGTCAGTCAAGACAGTCGAGGATTGCGTCATGTTGCAAGTTGACTTAGCTCTAATTTCTTCATGGTGTTCACGAAACTGTCTCAGTCTGAATGTTTCGAAATGTAAAGTTATGACTTATACAAGAAAGGTTAACTATTTAATTTATGATAATTATAACATCAATGGTCAGGTTATAGACAGATGCACCTCTTATAGAGACCTTGGAGTCACTTTTGATACCAAGCTAACGTGTACTGAGCATATACTCAATATCTCGTCGGCTGCCACTCGACACTCGACTACTTGGTTTCTGTATCAGAAACTGGAAGGGTTTTTCCAATGTTGATACATTATTGACTTTATTTTTTACTTTTGTCAGGAGCAAATTGGAGTATGCGACTCTGATCTGGTCTTCTATATACCAAAATTCTGTCGTGATCCTTGAGGCCATTCAACGTAAAGCTTTAAAGTATTTTCACCTTAAATGCACAGGTTCTTATCCAGAAAGAGGTTGTGACCATAGTGCCCTATTAGAGTTTTTCAATTTGGATTCACTGTCAACAAGACGAAACGTATTTGCTTTGTCGTTTTTGTATGGCCTCATTCACAATAAAATGGACTGTCAAAATTTACTTGAAAAAATATGTTTCCACTTTCCAAGGCTAGGGAGTCGACAACAAACGGCATTCTACTGTCAAGCTGGCCGTACAAATGTTATGACAAAATCGCCAATTAATCTCATGTGCTGCGTCATGAACAGTGTTACTGAATCGTGTGATATTTACAGTGACAGTTGTGCATCGATTATTAACTGCTAAAGATCATCCAATCTTATTTGGAATGTGTGATACTATAGATTTAAGTCCAAGAACCATGTCTCTCTAACTGTTACTTTTTTCAGCATTTCCTGTAATTCGGTTTCACCTGTTGGAAATAAATAAATAAATAAATAAACCAGCTTGGACGTAGTCTGCGTCGAATTGAATGCCTTGTTAGCAACACATCTGTGCGAGCAAATGCAGAAGTATCTCTCTATTATTCTTCAACGACAAAAAATCATAAGCAATACACTTCTCTAAAATGAGAGCCACGTAGCACATAGAAGGTTTTCTTTGTTATACTGCATATGCCATAACTCAGACTCGAGACACAATCACAGCCAAGCTTAAGTAATATTTCATTCCACCTTTTATTACGTTTCAATGAATTTTAGGAAATATTCAAATTCACTAGGAACATACGTCCCCAGCTCCGTGATTTATTTCATTCGCAAAGCGGACTAGAACATATTTTACTTGCATGAATTCTGCATAGCGGAATCTTAATGCGCTTGCAAGTATGTCTGAGGACGTACATTTATGTGTATTGTTTGCATATGCGATAGTTTCCTTACAGTTTTTATATATAACAAGAGGTTTACGTCATCGTAGTCTAGAAGCAGCCCTTTATGTCCTTTCAGTTATTAGGCACCTATAGGAGTATATAGCCGGGTCTTTTAAATTCGACTCTCACCATTGGGATCTGGGAAACGGTGAGATACGGGGTTTGTAACACGTGTGTGCATGTGCTGGTTGGCGATATAAACATAGACATCAAAACTAATAGTAACTTATCAAGCATGTTAGTATGCTGAGTGGATTTCTATCTTATATAAATGATTTCACTAGAGTACAGGGACAAGCTAATTCCTGTATAGATCACATCTTTATTTGAGATTCATTGCCTACTTACAACTATATTCCAGCTGCCATCCACTCTGATATAGCCGATCATTTCCCAGTGTTACTCCGATTGCGCACTCAAAATAAGCAACATGACGACCATAACATGCTATATCAAGTATATACTGATAGAAATAAATTATTTTACAATGCCAAAGCCGAAAATTGGCTTAGTGTTTATGTTGCAGACACGATAGATTCAGCGACCGAAATATTAGTGGAAACTATTAAAAATATTGTAAACAGAAGCACAAAAAAGGTCAGAATTAAAAGCAAGATCAAAAAAAGAACGCCATGGATCACAGGCAGATTAATCAAATCCATAAAGGAAAGAAACAAATTATACACAGATCTCAAAAATATAAAAGCTCGGACAGAAAAATGGTAGCAAATAGGTTTGCCGATTATTATGCACATGTAGGTGAGACTCTAGCAGATAAGCTAATTGAAGATATCGACACTAATACAAATTTCTCTCAACAAAACTCATTATTTCTTTATGATACAGATGATGAAGAAATAATTGAAACAATAAATTCGTTAAAAAACAAAAAGTCCCCAGGCTTGGACACAATCCCACCTGAGCACATTAAAATCATATCATCTGAAATAGCCCCACCTTTAAAATATATTTTAAATAAAATATTCCAGAGTGGATATTTTCCAGCTATATTCAAAACTGCAATAATAACACCCACATAAAAAACTGGGGAAAGGTCGGAAGTAACTAACTACCGAACTATATCGTTAATACCTTCGTTAGCTAAAATTTTTGATAAGATTCTGAAAAAACGTATGATAGCTTACTTAGATAAATACAAAATAATATCTAATAAACAATTTGGATTTAGACAAGGGAAGTCAACAGATGATGCAATACTTGATCTTATGACTAAGGTTTCCAGTAATATAAACTCCAAGGACCCAACTCTATGTGTCTTTGTCGACCTAAAGAAGGCATTCGATACAGTTAGCCACAACCGACTCCTCGGGGCTTTAGAAAGAGTAGGCTTTCATCCTACCTATCAAATAGGACACATTATGTGAAGGGACTATATTGGCACCGATATTATTCAATATTTACGTTAATGAACTATATTTACTAGAAGATCGAGTTTTGCTGACAACACAGCCATCGTATACAGTTCTGAAACCTGGGAAAACCTAAAAACTCTAACAGAAACAGAATTTTGCAAGATTCTCAAATGGTTCAACTCTAGACTTTTAACCGTAAATTACAACAAAACTTGTTACATCCCATTTTCATCCTGTGAACGATATATGCCCAAATATTCAAATTTAAACATAAAACTGAAGAACAACCAAAATGAACAATTACAGCTAGCTTCTTCGCGCAGTGTTAAATATCTCAGAGTTTACCTAGATTCTACCCTTAAATGGGACAAGCACATACATTTCGTAATTAAAAAATTGCGTACAATACTTTACAAATTTAAACATCTTATGAAATACTATGACTTCTATCAAATGAAAGTACTTTATTATTCACTAGTTGAGAGCCATTTGAGGTATGGTGTGATCGCGTGGGGAGCAGCGTGTAAGACACCCATAAAAAATCTGGAGACAATACAAAAGTACATTCTAAAGGTAATATATAATAAGCCAAGAATATACCCGACAGAACAATTATACAAGGGTGACTTCGAAGTTGAGTCATTTATTTTAACAGTGAGTAGATCTGATCAAAAGAAATGTTCTTTCCTTTAACATTTTTGTGGTAAAATTAAAGTAACAAAGTTATAGCCCTTTAGAAGTTTGAGTACCGCCCTGTCTCAATAATAATATTATGTGCTCGTGTTTGGCGACAACGGATATACTCCGCCTTAGCGGTTCATCGCATCGGAAACAAAAAAGCGAAAGAATTTGAAACGCTGATCACGATGTTTTTATTCAGTCTCTGTCAGTCGGTAACGCGTGAATGTTTGCTGCGTGGCTCAAACGAAATAAAAAATGGCACATATTTATGCGGATCGGTTTCCCAATCGAGTGCAACCAACCCCTCGTGCCGTAGTTAATGTAGTACAACGGGCTCGTGAATCAGGTGACTTAAGACCTCACAGGGGACTGAATGCCGGTGCTCCAAGACCTCACGATCAAATACAGGTCCGCACTGAAATACTTGTCGGGAGGATACTTTATAAAACAAGGTAATAAACATTTCTTATTTTTTTTTTATTTTTACACACATATTTTGGTTTATCTTCCTTCTACAATCATTATCTGAAAATTAATGACTAAACTTCAAAGTCACCATCGTATCGAAATCAGACTGTATGATATTCGACAACTCACCTTATGACGAGAGCCTCATGTCAATGTCATGCAGAGATCATTCCAATACCTAGGACCGAAGCTTTATAATAGTTTGCCTATTATCTCAAAACAGTATAATTCTACGCAGCTTAAAAAAGAACTAAAAAAGTGGATTAATGAAATACCTCGCCTCCACATACATCAGCTAATTCTTTCAAATAGTAAGTACATATAAAAACGATTAAAACCTTTTTTTAAGCTGTCAAGGAATTTTTTTGAAAGTTCTTAATATATACATAAGGTTAAGCATATCCAAGTATGCCGCAGCTAAAGCAAATGAACTTCCTAATATGACATTCTCTGATTCGTCGCACACCCGATTATGACGATTGTACCTATAATGACAATTATACTGATATAGACTGAATATTGGATAGACATCTCACCACGCACAGGCTTTGCCTTCTGTGGGTATTAAATATTTATTTGCATGTTTTTTTATTTCACCTGTAACATTTGTAACTGAATTGAAAGCAAATAAATATTATTATTATTATGTTAAATGGGAAATAGTTGCACATGTAGGTAACTAAGCAAACGACATTTAGAATGTTTCACAAATTCGAGTATTTTCGCAGATAAACCAAAGAAACTGGATCTTCCCAAACGCGGTTTCCTGGCTTAATTCCAGATCAAATTTCAAAATAAACGTAGATTGACATTTCCGCTCTTATACCAGATAGTATAATTAGAAATAAAATATGACGTGTTGTCTCTTGTCTTAAACCATCAACTTCATTTTGTTTTCCAGTCGCCATCTTGGATTTTTGCACAGTTTTTAATTTTGATTCCAAAAATGTGTGATACGTCATATACTGACTGTTAAATCTGCGTTATTTGGAAAAAACTGAAGTTCTCAAAGGCTGACTTCGGAACTTTTACCGTTTTCGCTATCTCAATGATGAGAGTCGACAGCCGGTATGCGAGTATAGGTACATTTCATAAACTTCCGGTGGCAAAGTTGACACGTAAAAAAACTATATAATCTATATACGATTTTTCGGGTGAGTATTTACGTAACAGTGTTTTTGTTTAGTACACAACAACTTGAGGGAAAAGAAAAATGAGCGCCAGCGGGATTCGAACCCGCATCTTTTCCATTCCAATGAGCCGACATAAACAATTGTCTTCAGCACCAGCTGTCAACGGTTGGTGGAGGAAAGTTCAATCATACCCACATCAGAGTCTCATTGCTGTTTCAAGCCGCTTGATGCCCCAGCTAACGCCGTTCAACTAAAATAAAGCGGATTGGTAAGGTATCTCCAATTGCTTTCCAGGCGCATCTCGCCGTCTCGTGAGAACTTGCCACGCTACCACCTGTATACGATTTTTCGGGTAAACGCATCTGTAGCAGCGATTATGTTATCTTGAAAGCATGTATCAACTTTGGGAATCGGGATGCTTTGGAGCTAAAGGGTATCGACATTCGGCTTTAATAGGTCGCAATGCGATTAAGTATTGATGTGTCTGCATATTCTTTTCAAATTCCAAGATGATAGCCTTAAAACCTGTTTTAAAAGCTGTAACACTCATCTCGTACCCTGTGGAGTGACATATTTTTTTTGTTATGAGTCACAAAATACATAGGAAGATACGCTACTTTGCCTCTTTAATCAGGAAAATAAATCTTTTGCTATCTAGTGAGATGCATTTTTATTTCTCAACAATCTTCCTCTAGTATTTTTTAATCACGTTTCGAAGATACTGAAGAACAAACAAAAGCACTTTTCCGCTGCAAGAATTAAAATCATACCTACATTCATCGGAAAAACACGCATTTGCTATTTTTAAGCTCCTCAAGCGGTAAGCAATGTTTTTTGAAAGAAGAATAAAGGGCGCATATCGCAAGTATTACATTTCTGATTTTAAAATGAAAGGTTATTATGTAGCTTGAACGAAAATATCATTTTTTTCTTTGCTATTTTATAGAGCTTCAAAGTTTCAATTTTGGTGGTACTATTCTAGAATAGGATACTGTTTTATACGCTGGTTTTTTCGGTTTTTGCACAAAAGGATGCTCTAAATTATAAGAATATAACATATACTGTAGAGTGCCAAGGAAAATAGATGTGAAACTTTATAAAATCTTTGGTTTTTCAAAGAAAAAGGTTAAAAACTAGCCGTATAATAACCTGAAAATATATACCTTTAAGACTATACGTTAGCGCATAAAGGCCGAAATTCTTGTTATTTTCGGAAAAATTGAAGAAATCAGTAGAAGTGATCATTTTTTTAATGAAAATGGATATGAAACTATAAAAAATCGTTGTTTTTTACAAAGAGTACTACAAAATGAAATTAGAAATGATGCAGCGTCAGAAGCCACCTGTAACTTCTTATGTTCACAAAAATAAAACTTATTATAACTTATAAATACACTTTAATCAGTAAAACTATTTATTATAATACTCAAGTTTCTTCTTATTTCTTGACCTAGTTGGCGGAGAGGAAGTTCTTCATTCTCATGACTTCCTTCATGTTCATCTGAGTCTTGTTCAGCTAACTCAAAGTCAGGATCGCCCAAGCTTTTTGCAACATTATGGAGTATAATACAAGCAATAATTATTTTCAGCACACTTTCCAACTTTACGCGGCGAACATACTGTAGGATAGGAAACCGGCGTCTCAGTTGGACGAAACAGCGTTCAATTGAAACTCTTTCTTGTTTTAAAAGGTTATTATAATTTATTTCTACACCTGGAGTAGGATTTCTGAAGGGAGTCATAAGGCATGGCTCAATACCATAACCGTCATCGCCAAGTAGTGGAACATTTGCTTTAGTTATTAGTTGTGATCTAGCCTGTGAATTTCTCCATATTCTGGAGTCATGAACTGATCTAGGCCAACTGACATCAACACTTGTGAAGATCTCTCTGGCATCACAAGTGGCTTGCACATTTAAAGTAAGTTTCCCCTTCCGGTTGATATACTCATCCCCATGGTGACTTGGTTTCAGGATTCCTATTAATGTACGTACAATCAATTACACCAATTGCTGTCGGAAATTTATACATGCTTTGCCATATCCGCTTGGCCTCCATCAGTTCATGGTTGGTAGCTGAAGACTTGATGCATTCGTGCGACTGTGCAACTATGCTGTTCACAACTCTATCCACAGCCGAGATACCGTTGCTTGACTAGCACCAAGTTCCTGACCAATACCTTGTTGATATCCAGGGTCACCGAGATAACGTAGACATATTTTCATTTAAAAATCTCTCCGCAAGCCATTGTACATCTGCTTCGTCGAACCGATATAATTTTTTGATGTCACGACCAAGTGAAGGTAAACGAGGTTTGTACGTTTTAACATCCCTAACATCCACAATTTCCGCCGTCGTCGTTTGACCACCTTTCGTTCCGAAGTTGAGTCTGCTACTGACCACACTCAGAATTTTTTAAGGAAATGCTTTCTATGCCTAGTATAAGGTGAACATTATGAATATCCGTTTACTTATGTCACTGCTTTGAAGGATATGCTTATACTCAAAAAGCAAAAGCATTTACTTCAAATTATTATAAATACCATCTGGATGATTTCCTTCAAAATTTGCAAGTACAAGGATATCCTTTGTTTTATGAATACGGCTCATTGAGTTGAGGTATTCGAAATTCATGTTGTGTGTTATAAAACACCGGTGTCTCACTTCAGTGAATTGCTTCTTGATAATTCGGAAACAATACAGCAAACACTATTGTAATTAATAATTCTGTGTAAATCACCTAGTCACTTTCAATTAGTTTGCTCAGTTCTATGCCTAGATGGACAGAATTTTGATTTATAAAGCTTAGGGCTTCATGACTGTACTCTGCCGATATTACCATGTCTTATTTAATACAAAAAAAGCTTTTGTACTTTATATAACGGTACCAACTACAAGGATTATAAAGAGGCTGAATCCAGACGTGCAATTTTAAATAATCTACCATGTACATCATGCCGATATGTTAAGTTCACAGCCTACCTGCAGGACTTTATGATGTTGATCGTCCAACGAGATTCAGGGAAGGACAGACGCCGAGGGCTCTGGATTTGATATTCGTTAACGACGCCGACTTTGTTTCTAATTTATATTATTTGCCACCTTTTGGCAAGTATGACCACTGTTCACTTTTATCTTCTCTCCAGTTCAATATAAATAGTCGTTCTACAACCGATAAGTTTAAAACCATCAAAATTGTAAACCACGATGCTCTTAACCAAGCCCTGTCTGAAGTCAACTGACCTGCTTTGCTTAACAACCGTAGCACCCAAGATATGTGGGACACTTTCGCTCAACGAGTCCTAAGCGAAACGGCTGACAATACTGTTGAAAAGAAGGTATACTGTGACCCCTCAAAGCCCTGGATCAACTCTAACATATCGAGGATGCTTCGTCACAAGAGATCTTTGTGGCAACGGTTTAGGAGGAGTGGCCATTCACAAGATTACGTGTCTCATCGATCCTTTTCTAACCTCCTGTCTAGAACGTTACATAATGCCAAACATGCTTATGAACGAAAACTCGTTACCTCCAAAAATAAGAAGAAGCTGTTTCGGTATCTAAGAACAAACCTGAATTCCAAAGTTTCATCACCTCAGATCCGCGACGCTGACGGTCATCTCCACATGGATGCCACCGAATCTGCCAACTTACTGGCAGAGTCCTTTAGTGATGACTTCGTCGATGAGCCTGATGGAGACCTTCTACCGACCACTATCTGTCATAGGTGTCCCAACAGCCTTTGCGAAGTTGAGTTCCTGCCTGAAGATGTATTAATGCACCTGCGAAATCTGAAGACCTCTTCCTCCCCTGGTAAAGATGGGATGACGGCTGCTGTACTTAAAAACTGCGCTTCAGCACTGGTCCTACCATTAAGCTTGATATTCACATCGTCTTTTAGATCTCATACCCTACCCTCATGCTGGCTTAGTGCTTCTGTTATCCCTGTATTCAAAAAGGGCGACAAATCCTCCGCTAAAAATTATCGACCAATAAGTCTCGTTCATATCGCCGCCAAAATAGCTGAAAGAATCATATTAGATAAGCTCCTGTCATTTGCTTTCGAAAATGACCTTATCCCTAAGAATCAGCATGGATTTCTCCCTGGTCGATTAATAATGACCAACCTTCTCCACTTTCTCAACGATTGGACTCAGTATCTGGACACAAAGACTCCTGTTGATATAATCTACTTAGATTTTTCTAGGGCTTTCGATCGCGTACCACATAGAAGGCTTCTGTTTAAGTTGGAATGTATGGGAATAAGAGGCAAGTTGTTACTATGGATTAAGGCTTCTCTCACCGGGAGGACTTTCTCTGTGCGCGTCAGTGATAGCCAGTCTCACCTTCATCATGTAGCAAGTGGAGTTCCTCAAGGCTCTGTCTTGGGGCCAGTGCTGTTCCTTCTGTATACAAGTGACCTGCCCGCATTGATTTCCTCCACATGTTCAGCTTATGCCGACGACACCAAGATTTATAATACTGTCGTAAATTCTGCTATGCTTCAACGAGATCTTGATATTATTTGTCAATGGTCAGCCAGTTGGCTTTTACCCTTAAATCTAACTAAGTGTTGTGTCCTTCACCTCGGGAAGACAAATCCGCGATTTACATACAAGATCTCTGACCACAACATCGAAGCAGTTTCCAGCCACACTGATCTGGGAGTTGTAGTCAATGATCGTCTTTTCTGGTCAGAGCATATTCACCACGTTACATCAAAAGCCAAGAAACTTCTATACATGCTGGAGAGGTCTTTCAAAGGATCCGATGTCAACACTTGCGCCTACATTTACATGGCATTCGTGAGGCCAATTCTTGAATTCGCTGGCCCGGTATGGGACACTGTGCTTCTGCGCGATAGAAATCTCGTCGAATCAGTACAGCGTCGGGCTACTCGGATCCCTTTTGGAGCACGAAGACCAAGCTATGAAGATCGCTTTGGATTATTCAACCTGACCTCATTCTCTGAGCGAAGACTTTATAGTTACGTTCAGGATACTTCATGGTTTGATGGGCACCAACCTCATGCATCTATACCGTCTGTCGCGCAGCAATCTACGCGGACACAGCTTCAAACTGCATAAGGAGCCATTTAAAACAACAGTCCGACAGTGGTTTCTTCCCAACCGCATATTCAACACCTGGAATAGTTTACCTGAAAGTGTGGTTGGTGCTATTTCAGTTAATAGCTTCAAAGTGCAGTATGATAGCTGGAGGAGTGTACAAACTTTATAGCTATGAACTGTCTTTTATATTTTTTCCTATTTGATGTATTCGTGTTACGTGTCCGTACACTATATTTACTGCATGGGCTTATAGTACTGTGTACTCTGCTCATCTCAATTATCATAATAATAATAATAATAATAATGATAGAGTCTTTTCCTCACTCTCTTTCTTCAACTTCTGCATCTCCCACGATAGTCACAATTCATCTCAAGTATACCATCACAGCTACTGATGGTATTGCTTTCTATTTTAACTCATTCTTAACGAAATATGTCCGAAAACGTCAGAGCCGATAATCTGGATATTAACCACAACAAACGCCATATTTGATATTTTTACATTTTTACATTTAGATAAAAATAGAGAATCCCGGCAAGCAGCACGTCACGTGATACCGAAAATGCAGTTTTCTCGATTTTGCCTGAAGTGGATGACCTTGGCGTTGCTGGTTCGCCCATAAGACGCTAGACCCCCTGCTTATAATGAAGCATGTAGCTTTCCAGATCAAAATATAACGATGCTGTGGTTTACACGTCTTGTAGTCTACATAAAGCCATTCTGCGGGCGCTAATAAATAAACGGGCTGAAGCCAAACACAAGCGCAAACTGTGACATATGCCTTAGCGGCGGTGACGTCACAGACAAAAGTTATTACCTCCCGACTCCAAAGCCGAGACGACGTAAATAAAATTTTGCTTTATTCGCCATATTTTCATTTCTGGGAATCGTTTTTCATTCGTCGCAGGGTAGCAGGAATAACGGGATAGTTGGCGTTCTGGGCTTTATGAGGAATAATAATGACGCTGGAAGATTGGATGTCTCGATATGAAAGCTTTTAGGATATCCATGGAACAGTGGCATTTTCGCACCTGCTTTAAGATGTTTTATTGTTCTCGCCCAACGGAGCATGAATTCCGAGCTACACAGGGTTTTTCCTAATTCAATGTCAATATTTTGGGTCCGGTTTGATAAGAAAACTTCATATGAAAATTTGTCCTAACCGTCTTAAATTTTGAGGATGGTAAAAATTAAGAAAATTTAAATCTGTGTTCATTTATGAGCATATTTTTTGATCACTGGAGTTCTGGAGTTATGTTATTTTACTTTTCACTCAGAAAAATTTGAATACATTTCTCTGCATAGTGATATTGTCATATTAATGACAAGGTTACGATCATGCAGAGAAACGATTTTTATTTCTTTGGGCAAAAACTGTGCATGATATTGAATGAAGTAAATGATCAAATTTGCTTAGAAATGATTGGGGATATTAGGATTAATTTTTACTTCAATGTCTGTCAAATTAGGCAGGTCAAATTCCGTACAAACGCTACTGGTGGCCATTGAAAAAAGCGGTACAATGAAAAATGCCTCTTTATATATAATAATAATTAATTAACGTCTTTTATTTGTAATATTATTACAGAAGGCGAGATTTAGATAATATATCTATTCTACCATCTAACCCCCTTAACAATACGAGATGTAAAAAAACAGAATTTGTTAAAAATTAATACCTGTATACAATAACGACAGAATAAAGTATAATCTAAGTAAAGGCATAAGGCAAATATGAGGCCACTTATGGGTTACAACAGATTTCGCTGCTGATCAAGTAGAAGTTTTTTCACTGTTTTCTTGAATTTGGGTAATGGATTGGTTTCTTTTAAACTGCGGACTAAATAATTATATGATTTGATCGCATTGTATATATATGTATTCTGAAAAAGAGATGTGCTGTGGCGTGGAATTGTAAGAGTCTCTCTATATCTAATATTAATGCCATGCATATTCCCTTTACGTATGAATTTGTTTACTAAATATGACGGTGTTTTTGAATAAAGAACCTTATGAGTCAGATTTAGGAGCTGGTACATACATTTTATCAATTTTCATCCATTTGGGTTCATTAATGACATTCGATATATGATCAT